TGTAAATGCAAATATATTAGTTTTCTTAGCGGATGTTTGGCTTTAAAATCCTCTTTATTCGTAGTTATTACACAATTCATGTCTTATCTTTTAACAATCCTGGAAATCCTGTGCCACTAAATTTGCTAAGAGCACTGTGAGATAAATAACTAATTATCACATTAATAGATTTTAAACTCAAATTATTTCTTGTATTAGATGCAGCTAGTTAGCAAAACAACAGAATTATATAATATATTGTTTATTGAATAAATTTATGAATGAATTTATTGAATATACTGAATTATATAATGTTAATGCATAGATTATCTTGCCACTTGACAATATTACAAGAACATTATTACGGTATAAGTTTATATTTAAGTAAAACATTTACAATTATCCACCTCTAAAGGGGTTTATATCATGATAAACATTGAGAATTCACCATTATTCACTACTAGTACAAAATGTTCTATTATATGTTGTATTTAAATTTTGAGACTTGAATACTTTTGGTGTCTTACTTTGGCACTTGGAAACCCTGTCACACTAACAGGAAATCTTTTATATGAACGCTGAAGTGTCTTTGCAAAAGATATTTGTGAAAGAGGCAGTTCAAGTGTTTATTTGGGGGGTTTAACAGCAAATATTTACTGGGGACAGTTACGTACTCAAAAAAACAAATAAAAGCCCTGATTTACCTATACCTACCTGTGTAGATTGGGTTCTTTGTAGCAAATAGTGGCTCTTCCTCGTCTAGACAGCGCTGCCGAGTTTTCTTCTAAAGTTTGGGGGAATTTAGGTAAGGCAGTGTGAAACCGCATGCTAACATTTGTCACATCTTGCAAAGCCTTTCTCCCTGTGAATACAGTAGTTTATATGCCTCATTCTAAATATTTTCTGAATCATTAAGTAAACTTTCAATTCATAGTTATTTTTCATTAATATCTCTTAATTCAGGTAAATTGGTTACTGCTCCTACTCTAAAGATGCTCAACAAAATAATGGGATAGATGATCAAAGAAAATGACACTGCAGCAGCTTTCAACCTACCTAAATTTGGAGCTGTTTGAGGTCCGCCAAGGCTCTTGGGACATTTTAAGAAAGCCCCATAAGCACTGTAATTTGCACCTAGCTGCTTAAGACTCCCAAGAGTTACTGCATTTTAAAAAGCAAAAGTGCACACAGCTCATGGCCTTGAATGCAGGGGAAGGGCATACACGTATAATCTGAAGATTCAAGCTGTACAAGGGTTCTCTAGTACCGCATTTTCCAGTTTTATGCCTGCTCTTTGGGCATATGTGCGTAAAACGAGCATAGCAAGGTGATTCAGTGAGCCTCCTTATCTTCAAAACTGTATACTACCAAACTATTTACAATGCCTCGTGTTTTGAACCACTGAACATGCCCAAGAGGAATACTCCATCAATAAGGTAACCAGCCTTGGTGGAAGAAGTACTATTTGTGTCAGCTTTCTGTAATCTTGTAAGACAAATTCAGAATGCCAGACTAAACAATCAATATATAATTTGGAGACAAATATTTTGATAATATTAAGATTTTAAGAATCTAAACCCATCTCCCAGACTGCACTAAAATTTAGTTATTTTCTTAATATGTCTCACTTAAAAAAGAGGTTGCCACATGGAAGTTTGCTCATGGGTAGATTCTAGAGAAAACCTGCTCAAAGTACTTTTTTTAGATCTCAGAATTCTGGTTGAATTACAGTGTTTCTAAAGATATACAAATGAAATCTTTTATGTTCTCCATTTATGAAGGGAACAGTGTAGTTGACTCTTATTTCCTTGTATCTTTTCTGTTCCCAACTTTCTGAATTCTATCACATTCTTTGAACAATGAATACAGGCTCCAGCTATAACTGCTCCTGAAGAATGTAGACCGTTTACATGTACCCAACTAAATGTCATCTTGGAATACACTGAAAAGTATCAAGGATGTTAGTTTCCACAATTAAAAAAAATATATTGTGACTGATATATGATATAGAATATGAATAATTCTAGTGATTTTCAGTCTTACTTTTTTCCACTCCTGTTTTATCCACTCTAAGTAAGCAATAAGAGTAGGATAGTATTAAAAGAAGATACCACTATTTCAGGCACTACTTAATTCAAAATGCCATTTTTTTTTCTCACCTATGCACTTACCATGACAAGGTGTCAGAGTCTCTTTGTAAGTCTCTTTAGAAATATGATCCGGTTTTTGTTCTGCTTTTTCAGCATCCAGTGCTTTATTATCGTGGTTTTCCCCACAAATTTCAGAGTTTTCCAGTATAGAGAAGTTCACGGAAGCATTGTGGTTATCAAGAGCTGGGAGCTCTACATTGGAAAGACCTTCCTGGTAAAAGCTATCTACATTTAATGGCATATTCTTAGAACATTCGACAGGTAAGAATTTTAAAAATTCCAATTTTTGAACTGTAGGCTTTAACTTGCTTCTAAAGGAATCTATCTCATGAGGGACTTCCTGGTCATCCAAAATATTCTGTCCGCCCTGATCCATATGCATGAAATAATTTTTTTCTGGTCTGGTCTCAGTAACATCAGAACTAAACCTCTGTTTGCGCTTTGCCTGATTATCAGGAGAAATACTAATGTGAGGGCTTTTATGTGCCACTGATGAGGAATCTACTTTCTTTAACGTATTAGCATCATCATCAACTTCTTCTTTAGCTTGTGCCGTATTCATAGGCACACCATTCTGAGTAACTAAAGCTACTGGCTTTTGGTGACTTTCAGTTACTTTAGTTCCACAAACAGCCTCTGTGACCAACGCATCCTTATTTTTTAATTCTTCATTTTTACAAAGTGAGGACTGTATAGGATTTTCTTTTGGTATTATATATGCTTTCCGGCTGGCCTTTGCCAATGTACGTTTTAATCTGCCTGGCGAAAACCGGCTACTCTTTTGGTCTACTTTCTGAGTAATTTTATGAATGCTGTCCCTTTCAGTTTCTCCACTTTGTCTGTAACTACTTTTTTTGTTGTATTTTCTCTTTGTAATATTCTTCTGGTCTTGTTTTCTCTTGCTGTCATATCGGCATATTTCTGAGACTTTTTTGAAATATGTTCTCCATACTGCCCATTTTCCTCTCTACAGTATTTTGCTGTGTTCATTTTAGAAGGGTTTTGAAAAGCTTTCCTGTGTATTTTTGGTTTCCTGTGTTTCTCATTTGTATGCAGAAAGTCCAACTGTAAAGACAATACATTAGAAGTGTTGTCTTGGAATGGTAAATTTTCAGCACAAGAAACTTCTGGTGGGATCTTGTTAATAGATGAGTTTGAGCCTGCTTTTTGTATTTTGCTTTCCATGTCTTCAGATGTTTCTGAGGAAGTTTCTTTATTTGTCTCCTGATTTCTTGGAGTCATTAAGTTAACCTGGTATATGCCCCTAGTATCTTCAGCTTTACTTGGACAATTTTGTGCTTGATAATATTTGCTGGTATTTAGCAAACTCTGTTTCACTAC